TTATTATGATTCCGTTACACATTTTTTTGAATATTTTTATGCAGCTTTTAAAAGCTCAAACTGTTTTGTCATCTGAGGAGATTTTTTCCAAAAAATCCCTTAAGAAACTATTTTTATTCATAAAAAACTCCATTTTTGGAGGTATTTTGAAACCGGTCCAGCTAATGTACAGTAGTCGAAAAAATTATAGCCGCACCAAATTTTCAAAAGTTTTGAAATATTATTTTTGTTATTTAATTTGGTTAGTTTTTTATACTTCATTATTTAACAACATCCGTATAAATACAAGTTTAAAGGCTGTGTCACACGATTGGGTATTTGCCAAAATTTGGTGCAAATCGTATCCCTATTGTGTGAATACCCAAATATTTTTCTTCACCCCAATCACGAAAATTAATTTGTTAAAATTTTTCAATAGAACATCGCTGTTTTGAACCAATCTTTTGACTACAAAAAACATTTTCCAATTTTTTTATTTTGTACCAATAGCACAATATAAGAGTAATCTGTACAAATGTACCAATCGAGTGCAACTGCCTTAAAAATTTATGCAATTAAAAAAAAAATCAACAACTTTTTGTAAAAATTTCGAGTTTTTAATTAGATTCTTAGAATGCAAATTTGAACTGTAGTAGAATAAAGAACAAGTTTCAAATGGCTAAACACTACGATTGATTTTTAGAATTTTTAAAAAAGCTCAAAATTTGTACGAAAGTTTGCTGATTTTTTTTTTTAATATTGCACAAATTTTGAAACTTTGATTTACACGGCTTTTGTTAAACAACACCTCCCCCCCACACATATTTTTTCAAATTTTTTGGCCAATTTAATGCCCGATTNGCTACGATTGATTTTTAGAATTTTTAAAAAAGCTCGAAATTTGTACGAAAGTTTGCTGATTTTTTTTTTTAATATTGCACAAATTTTGAAACTTTGATTTACACGGCTTTTGTTAAACAACACCTCCCCCCCACACATATTTTTTCAAATTTTTTGGCCAATTTAATGCCCGATTTTTATTTAACTAAAAGGATAAATATGTAACTTATGTTCATGTAAGTCAAGCCGGGTTTCATACGTTCAAATGTAAGTTGAATGGTTCGAATTGTTCTGAAAATCAGTTTACAACCTGGTACATTTTTCTAACTTTTCAAAAATGTTGAAATATTTTTCTTCATTTCCTGTAACCCTGTACATTATGTATACATTTCCCATTAATATAAGGAAAAATGCAATTAGGAACTTGCCAAACCTTGGAACCTCCTCACAAAATAAAATGTAATTTTGCTCTCTCAATTTCCCCTACTTTACAAGTTTCTTGGTTACATTACTAGCAATTGTTTCAAACTATTTACTACACGAACACCCTTATACGTTTTTAGGGTGATGGCTAAAAGGTTCAGCGATGTGTGGCTCAACTTTTCCGAAGAAAAGGATCAAAAAGTAAATTGTCTAATCTGTGCGCAGCAACTTTCGGTTGCAAATAAATCAACATGTAGTCTTATAAGGCATATGAAGATGAGGCATCCAACCCAAACAATTTCAAGGCAGCAACCTGTTGACCCAGCTGAAGCTAATGATACGTCATTAATTTCAAGTTTGCCTTCCACGCGAAACTCTGACAATTTGTCAACCATAAAAATAACAAATTTTTTCACTAAACCACTTCCCTTAAAGAAGAAAGAGGAGATCGATAGGCAGATCTTGAAAATGATTGTCAAAGAATACCATCCATTCACTATAGTAGAGGAAAAGGAATTTAAAACACTGGTTCATCTACTAAATGCCAACTACATGTTGCCGACAAGGAAAACAGTTTCTTCAACTTTATTAACAAATGCTTATAGTTCAGCAGTGGCTGTCGTAAAAGAACGCTTGACGAGAGCATTTGCTGTTTGCTTGACAGTTGATGGATGGACGTCGCGAGCCCAGGATAACTATTTTAGTGTAACCGCACATTACATTGTTGAGGGAGATAATTCAACATTTCTCGCATCAGATTTGCTAACTTGTGCATCGTACACAGAGCGACATACGGCTGTCAACCTAACGAAAATGCTGCAAGATGTGTTGAAGGAGTGGCAAATTGATAATAAAGTTGCGGTCATTGTTACAGACAACGCGGCCAACATGAAGGCGGCTGTACGTGGTGGTGGATGGAGGCATTGGGGGTGTTTTGCCCATACACTCAATTTGGTTGCGCAATCGGGATTGAAAGAAGTAGGAGTTGTTCTAAAAAAGGTAAAACAAATTGTTAGGCTTTTTACTAAAAGTAATTATGCAATGGGGAACTTAAACGAGCGATGGAAGGGATGCAGATGCCGATTTTGAAAATAATAAATGACGTTCCACCTCGATGGAATTCTACATACGATATGCTTAAACGCTCATCGTTAGCTCTGATAAAATCTTCTGCGCGGGTCGCAGACGAAGTATTAGCTAATGTCGAAATTTTAGAAAATGAGGAGTGGTTAATAATTTAACAAACAATGCATGTAATGGAAATGTTTCAAATAATTACAAATCTTATAAGTACTCAAAAGCATGTCAGTTCGTCTTCAATTATTTTGTATGTAAACGCAGCTAACGAAGCATTTAAATTCATCGCAGAGCCGTGAATTAATTCCAATAGTGCACAAATTGGTCAACAATTTACTAGGTTGGCTTAGTGCCAGGTTCATCGACATCGAAAACAACATTTTTATAGCGCAGGCAACAGTGTTAGACCCACGCTTTAAAATATTTGGCCTCATAAACGAATCTAAGTATAAATCTGCTGTAGAAATGCTCTACAATAAAGTAGCAAATATACGAATTTACACTGACGAAGATGTCGTAGATGAACCAAGTGAGGCAACAGGTAGTGCGGGTAATGTCGAAAATGAACACGTTTGGAAAGACTTTGATGCTGAGGTTCAGCAATATTTACGACCTAACAACCAGGTGGCATCTGCAATAGTTGAATTAGACAAATATTTGGCTGAACCTATATTGCCACGTAAAGACAAAAATGGCTAATATCAATGTCCTTTGCTATGGTGGAATCAAAGGAAACATATATACCCCGGCTAAATTAACTAAAATGGTTTTTTTGAACTGTAATATGGACAATAACTGGACTGATACTGATATACTCGATGTACCTTAAAAGAGATTTTAGTATAACTAAAACAAAATGTATTTACTTGTTTTCTTAATGCTTTATGCAAAAATATTTTTTTGTTATATTTTCACATTAAATATCTTATTAATTATACAATAAGTGATATGTATTAAATATATAAAAATATATGCACATAAACATATCGCACGTTTAATAATATACATAAGTATTGCAAAATTTCAATTTTGTGGGAAAACACAATCAAAGTTTGATCAACTCATACAGTTGGTATACAACAAGTAATTTTTAGCAAAAAAAAACCGACTTCAACTCTCATATAAAAAAAAAATATATATATATATCTCATGATCCACTGATCGGATCTTAACCAGATGGGACCACCTCTGAGACACTACCTTTCCGATGCAAAAAGAATTATCGAAATCGGTTGACGTGGTCCAAAGTTATGCGGTAACATACATAAAAAAAAAAAAAAAAAAAGATTCCGACGAACTGATAACCTCCTCCTTGTTTGGAAGTCGGTTAAAAAGACGGCTGAAAAGACCCGTGTCTTTGCGATGTTTGGGAAGTTTAACCATTTGTTGGACTGAACAAGTTCTACATATCAAGCTTATTCATTGTATGATGAATCTCCAAAACCGTAAATTTTGAGTTACATCTCTATATTATTAAACGTGCGATATATCGAAAACAATTCAAAATTTTGAGTTTTGAAATTATGCGCTAAAAATGTACACAGAGCTTTTATTTACCTTAATGTTTAATGTATGCGCTGTAAGGCCAAAAGATATGTGTTTGTATGTGTAAGCTATAGCTAGCATAGATTTAAAAGCTGCTAAATCTACTTTTTATGAAAACTTACATTTGGATACAGTAAGGCTAAGTATTAGTAGACGTTTCCAAAGAGACCGAATTAATTTTTTATTTCTACATTTTTCCATGCAAAAAAAAAACAAAATTTGCTTAGAAAAAGGCACACAAATTCGATATTTAAAAGAAAGCAACTTGTTTGAAGTAATATTTTGTTTTGAAAACGCAAAACTTTTGTTATCAAAGTTTTGCAAAATATTTGAAGAAAATAAGTTTGAGAAGTTTTGTTTGTCTCCGGGAAATTTAAAACACAACTTTTCTACTCTCAGTGTCACAACTCAAAAATTACAAATATTGAGTTAAGTACACAGAAATTACCGATACTTCTACTTCTTCTCTACTTTGTGTAATAATTTCATAATGTATCGATTACCCATAGCCCACTAGAACAAAATATGTATTATGGGAGTATATGTATATGTACTATGGGAGTAAATGTAAATTCATAACTTTAAAGCCGTTTTTATCGCGTTTGGTTTTTTTTATTTGTGACACTATTGGAATAAATGAGCGATATGTAAAAATGTATTTTAAATTAGTGGAACGTTTTAAGCTATTAGAAACCAATTAAAAATCATACTGTTACTCTTTGATGCAACTGATATAAAAATATTACTTTTTGATAAAGCCCTTCATACAAATGTTACTTTTTGGTTGCACTTCATTCTTTTTCATATACAACCTTAAATAGGTGCAAACTATGTATCTACATTTACATACATAAGTATGTAGTTATAATAATACAGTACAAAAAAGTAGTTGAATACAATTTTGTTCTAAGTTTTCTAATAAAATATCTGATGCAAAAACACGTGTATGTTGTATGTAAAATGTGGTTGTGGGTGAGGGTTTTTTAATTACAGTTAAGTTATTATCGAAAATATCAAAAATTTATAGTTCCCCAGCTCAAGATTATTTTATGAAATCAAATACGTAAATAAATTCGTGAGAATGGGCTAACAAAAAGGTCTTAATTAAATAATTTTAGTTCAAATACATACAACGTCACCAAGAGAAGTCACGGTTTGTAGCATGCGCTTTGCTTTTGCCTCATAAATCGGTTGCAGACATGTTCATAAAATCGTGCTAAATCAATAAGACCCATTCTCTTTTAGTGATTTTTTTTTTTAATTTCTTGCACGCTCAATTGTTGCATGCATGAAATCTGCTTCCAAATGCCCAGACTCCCTCGATTGTCACAATATAAGTGCAATTAACAACAAAGAGCATGGCCGCTGCAAAAATGTATTTCGGTTCTATAATTAATATACAAGGCCGAGTAAGCAATTTTATTTACAATCTGATTTAGTGGCATTTACAACTTATATGCACAAGCAACTTATATTTAAAAGGATTTAAAATTTTTTGGAGTACTTAACACATTTGAATAAGTAGTACATTAGCTTATGGCGCTTTAGCAAAGTCTCTAATTTTGGTAATAAGACAAAAGTCGACTAAGTGATCAGAAAAATTCAGTAGACAAGCTGTAAAGACAAGCATGTTAATAATAAAGAACATGTTAAACTATATAGGTAGTTTTATACCGCGATAATGTTGTCTTGGCCAGATGGTGCCCTTTTTGTTTACACAGTAGACACTGCCCCTTGTTTTGTATACCCGCAAATGTTGTTCGTAACATGCACATATATATGTACGTCTCCAGCGTTTGTGGTTACATTAAATAAAGATGCCACGAATTTCGCCATCACGTGACCCTGCCAAAAGCCTTTAAATATGTACACATTGAAGCTGAAGAAACTACATTTGGCCACCAATCTTCCAGCAATACTAGGCACACTGATTGCTTTTTGCTTTTGATTGCAAATATGCGTTTCCTTGCGGGTACTTTACCTGTATTATAGAAATATATCTAGTATGTATATTTTCACAAAGTACACAAAATAATTAAAGAAAATAATCCTCAATTACCTAAAAATTTCACCAAACTCTGCCAATTATCGTTTTGTTTGGCAGCTTACTTTGACACATATGTACATATTTCTATTTCTCATGTTTATGTTTTTTGGCAATTTTTTTGACATTTCAGCAATGTGGATTGGAAGTGTGTGGGTGAGAGAGGTGGAAACTTGCGATTGTGTGTGTTAAGGTTAGCGCCAAGGCGAATTCATTTAGCGCGGTCTTGAAAGGCATTATTTGCGAATTTGCCTTGGTCTCGTGTGTTTCGTGGTGTTAATGGCGCTAGCGCTTTTCATATTTTGGTGTTGGCGTACCAACTCCGACAACAGCGTTAACGCAATTGCGCCGCTCAGCGCAGTGTTACCCATGTCTAGAGCTGATGTAAGCTGAGCATGTACCTCATCACCCTTGACTATTTCGCGGCCATCGCCATACAAATATAGTTACATAGCTTTCCTCAAAGGAAATATACAGATAATCAAGCAGGTTCTGCAATTCACTTTCGAGTGAATTTCGATCAAACTCGCTTTGAATTCAAATTGGCAGGGGTTGAAATTCACACGGAAGTGAATTGCAGAACCTGCCGGAATAAGTGACTTTTAGCTCCTTCCTAATAAACATAAAGTTGGCTTATAGTTAGATACATTTCCTGCAGGGCGTGGATCTGTACTGCTAAATGTAAGTCGTTAACATTATTTTTATTACTTGCATTCTCTTTTTATTTTAAACGATACGCATAAATTAGCACAGAAGAGAGCACGTGATGTTAATCTTTTGTTAAAATATCGAACATTAGCAGCGGAAACCAAAAAGCAAAAAGGCAGGAATCTAACACTAATGTTAAAATGTATGTAAATCAAATTTGCGATGTTCTAACGAGAAGATTAACAGCATTACTCGGTTCTTAAATAGCCTATCGACACGGCGTCATCTAAGTGTCACCACAGCACCCATCGTGGTGTCATACCTATTATTTCTTTAATTTTCGGCGCTGAGCAACGCGTACCGCCAATCGAATTTAGCTGCTAAGAATGTAGTAAATGCCACGATATTCTCATCATTCTTGAGCAAAAGCTTTAAATTTGTCAAGATACATAAGTTCTCACAACTCAAAAGCAAAGAAAAATTGCGTATATTTTTTCAAAGAATTAAGGCGAATTTTATGTGTGTCTTATGTGTTTCTTGGTGTTAATGGCGCTAGCGCTTTTCATATATTGTTGTTAGCGCGGCAGCTCCGGCTCCGGTGTTAAGGCGATTGCGCCGTGCAGCGCACTGTTACCCACGCCTACTCAACAGTCGTGTCATTGAATGGTACGGTTCGAACTCATATGTACATAAACATATACCGATATTAAGGTGCACATATCCACGGATGTTAATAAGAACATTGCCATAGAGGGAAATTTAATTTTTTAACGTAGTTTTTTTTTAACAACTCTTCTCCAGCTTTTGGGTTATCTATTCTATACTAATTATATAAAGAGAAGTCCCTTTTTTTGTAACAGGTAATCTCGCGAACGGCTGGTCCGATTTTCATGAAATTTTGTATATAAATAGCTTTCGGTAACCACCATGTTTTAGGTTAAAAAAAATTTACTTTTTTCTGATAGGTGGACCAGGGACCGGTCTATTCGAAGAAATCTAATTATGGTCCGATTTGCTTAAAATTTGGTAAGTAAGTAGCTGTTTAGCATATATTAGCATATATGATCCATTTTTTCGGGAAGAGGTCCAGGGACCGATCTATTCGAAAAAATCATATTTACGGTCCGATTTGCTTAAAATTCGGTACGTAGGTAGCTTTTTGCCTGGATAAGCTTATAGATTCCTGTTTTCCAATTTTCATGCAATTTCGAATATAAATAGCTTT